TGCGAAGGTGGCTCCTCCATCTTTTGGATCACCTCAGCTTTGAGCACAGACACGGGTGAGGCCCTGGGAGAGAGGGGAGGTGGACTCACAGCCTTGCTGTAGGATGTGGAGGTGCTGGGAGACAGCACAGGCGGGTTTCGGTGCACCAGTCCCGGGGCTGAGGAGGAAAGGTTTGATTTGGCACTGTCCAGGCTCCGTTTCGTCACCTTCTCTTCCATATCCGCACGCTGCTCATTCGCCTTTAATCTCTCCTGTGACAAGAACAGAGCAAAACTCAGCCCAGTCAGCTCCTGGAAAGCAGCACAGATCTACCACCAAATAAGACCAAAACACGGCCTTATCGAATATGGACTGGAATAAAACACTTTCCCCAGTGCAACATCATTTTAAGACCATTTTGGTGGGGGGTGATGCTGACCTGTGACACTATTCTTTACAAATTCCCAGCTCTGGGAGTCATGTGAAAGGCGTCTCAGCTTTCACTTTGCAACCAAAGCCTCCAGCCTAGCAAGCACACACACGTGCATGCACCTGGCTGAAAACCAGGTGACCACTATAAAAACTAAACGGATGTAAAACACCCAAACGAACACCCACAACTTCCAAAATCATTTGATGAACAGGAGTTGGCTCCAGGACCCGGGGCGATGGCCACCAGTATTGCACCTGCTTCTCTGAGCCACTCAGGAGGTTTGTTTGAAGGCAAGCAGGATGAAACCACTCAACTAAACAGACAATTTCAGGCTCGTTTCTTCACGGAAGAAGCTCCTGAAAACGTACCACAAGCTGGGCACTCCTCTGTAGCTCCATGGCGTGGGCCGCTTGCTGCTGCAGGATGTACAGCTCGTGCTGCCGCAGCAGCGGCTGGTGAGAGAGAGCTGGTGAGCGTGCTGGAGGGAGCTCCTGGTTGGGGGGTACATGGCAGGCCACAGAGGGGGTGCCCGGTCCATCAGCTCCGCTGGGGAATGAGCAGAGATGCAGTCAGGAAGGCACAAGGACAGGGATGGCTAGAGGAGTCCAGGATTGCTTGGGGCGAGCGTCTCTACCGCAGTCCCAGGGTGTGAGGGATGCCAAATATCGGGCTATGCATAAACACAACCAGAAAAGCAGAGGGGAAGCGTGCTGTCTTCCCTTTGGCCGCCCCAACCCCACTACCCCAATGGGTCCTAGGGCTGTCTGATTTGCTTTGCTCCCTGGGCACCCTCGTTCTGACTGTCCCCCGATCTATCTAACCCTCTCCACAGCCTGTTTCCTCCACAGCTGTTAAAGCGTGGTCCTCAAGGACGCGCCCGCATCCTTACCGAAGTGTGGCAAGTGCTCGCTGGGGATCACGACGAGCTGCCCAGACTGCGGGTCTCTGGCAAACTGGTAGGCGGAAGGGAGAGCTCCCCCCATGGCAGGGGGGAAGCCTGGAGTCATGCCTTGGTGCAGGGTAGGGTGACCAAGTCCTGGAAGAAGACACACCACAGTCACAACTCAGGGCATGCAGGCAGCTCCTACCCACCTAAGAAGTCATCCACCATTTGATTGCTCCAAAACACCTCCTTCCCTTTCCCCTGTGACCAGAGAGCGGCCTCACCAGGCACTCAGCAACACTTTTCTCCGGATTGCATCAGTGTGACCACCCCACGGACACGTCGCTCCCTGCCAGGGCACTCACCGTAGGGATGGCCGGCCAGCCACATGGAAGGGCTCCCTGTCCTGGGGAGCCAGGGGTGAGCTGCCAAGTGCGAAGCCGGGTCTGCAGACCAGCGCCCGGAGCCCGTCAAGGCTGGGCCCCCCGTCACCATGAGGTTGGAGTTCAAACCATTCGTGGCGCAGCTGGAGGGGTGGATCCGGGCAAAATCTGCCAGCTCCTTGCTCTCTCTGGTAACAGAGGAGGCAAGAGAGAGATTGAGAGAGGGTCTGTGGGCTGCAGGAGGGTATGAACCAGCCTGCAGAATGAACGCATTTGCAATGGAGGGTCAGACACTCAAGGAGAGCTGTGATGGAGGTGGTTAACATCATGTCCTGAATAAAACATCTCCTCTCTCCATTCCTTTGGAGCAGGCACGGATTTGCAGCAGTTTTGCTCTGCTGGTTTGCTCTGCTGCAGATTCAGATCTGCCTAAAACCTCAGGGTACCCGGTCAGTACTGCTGTGCCAGCAGCTCCACCCAGATGGATGCAACCATGTCCCCTCTCTGGACAGGCTGTCCCCAAGCACAGCTTGTGGTGCTGTGGCACCCCCATCTCCTACCAACTCTCACCTGAGAAGCTTCTCCTGATCCCGCTCCAAGCGCCCTGCCAGGAGGTGACTGTCCCGGTGGCGGCTCCTCTCATCCGCACAATCATCTTCTGAGCGTCCGTGCCCTAAGAGACAACCCAGCACCATCAGACACAAGAAACAGTCTGCGTAAAGTTGTCCTCTCTCCTCCGGGCATGGAGAGGCAGCGGAGGAGCCAGCACACCCAAACATCCCTCTCCCCAAGACTGTATCAGGTTCAAGTCCTAAAAGAATGGGCAAGACCCTCTCTGTGATCAAGGTATTCTCACTGAGGCAGCTCCTGGTGGCGCCCAGGTCCATGTGGTTTGAATTTCGTGCCTCCAAGCCATCAAGGGACCCACTCGCCAGGCCAGGTCAGTCTCCCAGGAAAGGACAGCCACCAGCCTGGGAGCAACAGGACCAAAGGAATGATTTTTGCTGAAGGACAGTGGTAGATTTTCCATCTCAGAAGCAGATGAGGCCCAGCTCCCGCTTAGCACATCTCGCAGGGGGTGGATTTTATCTCTGCATCTCCTGCTCCTATAAACCAGTCTGGGAGCACTGAGTACGTTCTGAATCCTTGTTCTTCTGCAACAGGCAGAACCAATACTACGGGCCCTCACAAAACCAGCCATGTACCACTCTGCAAGTCAACCCGTCAGTGGGAATTTGCATCCCCGCCCCAAGCCACGCAATGAGAAAGGGTCTGGCGAGGCAGGGCCACATATGGCAGAGGAGGGCAGGAGTCCAAAAAAGGGGATGCTGGATGTTTGGCTGGAGAAACGGCTTTTTCCAAAAACAAAAAACACTTGTCAA